ATATTTATAAGAAGAATTCTGCTACGTTCTAATTTAATCTAGTTAAAAAATCCGACTTTCTATGCATATTTATATTTTATATTTACTATTCTATATTTTGCTAAAATATGAAATAAAATATGCAAAGAGTTGTGTTGCTTAACTAAAAAGTTATATGTTCTTCATTATTATTATTTTTTTTTTTTATATTTATAATAACAAACTAAGCTTTTGTAATCTCGACAACAGCTAGAGTTTTACAAATTGTAGCTAAACTCTCAGCACTTAGCAACATTACAGCTATTACAATAGTTGAGTTGTATGTTGCTGGTGCGAAGCATTTGAGATAAACGGGGCCTCAACGTTGGCCTTATCACAGCTCTTTATTCGGCTCTATTCACCTGCTGAATGTTTTGTCTGCCCTTTGCCATTGTCGTAGCTCAGCCTGCATTAGGCAGCGCAGTTTGGCCTGCAGGCAAGCAGCTTATGCACAACACACAAACGGACGGAACGGACAGACAAACAGGAGACATACGTAATCCTTGCACTCAGGCACGCAGTCATTGGTATTCATAAATCGCTTAGCCAAACTGTGCAGCCTTAATCAGATTTGGGCAACAATTTTGTTGCCATGACCGGAGCGAGAGCAGACCAGCCTGCCTGTCTACCAATCGGCCACAAATTGCAAAATTTGCCAGAATGAAATGTTTTCGTCCTGCTCCTTGCAATTTAAGTGCATTTTAACGTAAAATTTTGGCAACCACTTTGATTGGCAGTGGCAATTAAGGCAAAGATATATCGATTTATTAGCCGATGCGTTAGCTAATTTAATCAGGCGACTTCAGTCTGGCAAACACACACTCACATTACGTATACGCCACGTACTGTTTGTTTGGCCGTAAGTTAATTAAATTTACCTCTGATGGCCGTTTATTTATGCAATACAAATTCCTGGCAAATTGCAATGGCAATTGCAATTGGAATTGCAATTACAATTCCTTAAATAATTTATGCTTTCTGTTCTCTGGGCCATGGCACAGAAATATCGATGGAAATCGATGCATAAATTCTTTTTCACATTTTCCTTTCGAACAATTTTCCTCGGCCGACATTTTTGTCAGACAAACCTTTTTTATTTCTTGTATATATATATATACTTTTTGGGTCAATGTCAGCGGCTTGTGTGATAATAATTTATGTCTGGGGCGGTCTTAGCACGCCCACAAGAAGAAGCAGCCTACATAGGGCCACGATTTCTTTTTAAACTTTTGCCGTATTTTTTATTTGCTTTTCTTTTGGCTTGCAACGGATATAGTTGTCAGGTTTTGAGGGCGTTTCGTATAGCCCACTTGTAAATGCCACGCAATTTGGCGTGAATTAGGCTACAAATTACAAGATTTGTGAATGGTTCGAGGTGTGTATTTATATTTAGAATGGATGAACTTTAACTGGAAATTGAATACACTAAAAGCAATAAGAAATTGGACATACAGAGCGCAGTGTAGCATTAACTTTAATCCAAGTGCCTTTAAAATAATAAGTAAATACAAATAGAAAATATTTATAAATAAAAAAGAAAATCCCCTCACATGTATATCTGCGAGCAATACTTGTGAAATGTTAAGTAAATTCATCTTGAGCAAAGTTTTCAAATATTGACACACGAATCCTTTAGCTCTTAGACAAACACAGCTGCTACAACCCCCAAAAGACATACTACATAGAGTAACAAGCCGCCTACCCCCTCCGCACATGCCTTAACCGCCCCGTTATGGTCATAAAACAAAACTGCGGGCCACTGCAGGCAAACAACATAAAACCCTCGTAAGAGGCCAGCAACAACATAGAACACTTGACCGCTTGACCTAAATTTGGCAAGTTTTTCTTCTTCTTCGTGTTCTTCTGCTTTATTTTTTATTTATTTTTTTTTTGGCGCCAGATTAAGTCGAGTCCGTTCGTGCGAACATCAAATGTCAACAGAGCCCAAGAAATAGTACAAGAGAAATGTTTTAAAAATTACAACACGTACGCAATTTTGTCCTGATGCGCATAAAATAGGCATAAAATACGGGGCGTGGCCGCACAGCCAATGACAGCTAATGCTGCCGGCCCAAAAGTTGTAGGCAAGCGACTGCAGCAAGGGTTATCTTTGCCACAGCGTCAAATACACCTCATTCGCCAGCAGCAGGCATCTGGCAGCAAAAGTTGGCTTTGATTTTCATTCGTTTCGTTCTTTCTTTTTTTTTTTTTAAGCTAGCTACTTGGCTAATCTGTTCACACGCACAACACCGCCTGCGGCAAGGTGTTGAAAATTGATTTGCGCCTGTGATAAATTTCTACACAAACTTTCTCGCTCAAGGACCTGCCATTGAAATTAAAGATGGCAGCAGGCAAAGGCAGCAGGCAGCAGGCAGGCTGTTAAGCCAATGCTCAGATAAGAAAGACATCAACGCTGCTGGTAGAGCTGGGCACACGTACCACATTTTAGCACACTATTTAAGCAGTGCCGAGCAGATCCACGACTCTGACTACACAAGATGTGTCAATTTGGCGTCAAAGACATTTGACAGGCTAACGCATATATGCCAATGCCTTCAACTATGAAAATACCCTGTACATGTAGTGAAATCATACATCAATATATCATATCATCATATCATCATATCATTTTATCGTATTCATTTTAGCTGGGCTTTTAGTTTATCGCCTCTCTAAGCAATTCTCAAAAGCACTAAAATAGGTTTAAAGGACCATGACAATGAACAATTTTAAAGCTTTTTTCTTCATTTGTTATATTTAAGTTATATACATTTTATGTTGTAATGTAATAATAATAAAAAATAATTATTTTCAATATATAAATAAGTAGTATATTTAATGTATTATTTAAATGTATTTACATATATAATATATATTTATTAATATATGTGTATATTATTATACCTGTCAAATAATTTAATGAATTAGTATTAGTATCTTTATTATTATTATATATATTATTTATTAAATTAAATATTCATTTTTTTTTCGTGTTTTTTTTTTTTTTTTTTTTTTTTAACAAATATTCTGCTAACACTAGTCACAATTTAATGTAGTTCTTCATTCCGAATTTTTATACATATAATTTAGATTTATGTTTTTATTTTATTCCACAAAGTATCAACAAATTTATAGTTGCCAGCTAAGCCAGCCGTTGCTTATCTGTTCTTAGATAGGGTACAATACGACAGCAACAACAATACATGTTAACATTAGCAATGAAACAAGCTGCTTCTAAAATTGAAGCTGACTGCAACGGCTGTCACGCCCACTTGCCACAGAGTTCGCCCTCCCCCACCAGCTGTAAGGTGTTTTCTGCTGTCTCACGTACGGTGCCACGAACAGGAGTAGGAAATCTCCCCGCTTGGTTAGGCAGACAATAACTATAATTGTCGCATCAGCGTTTTGTGCTGCCGCTGCTTTCGTTCCCGCTCCGGCAGCCCTTAAAAGTATGCAGTAAAAAGGACGAGTCATTGTAGTGTGAGGGTGGGCGGGAGAGAGAGGAGAGTGGGTCGAACAGACAGCGTCGTGGAGAGCAATGGAATGCCATTAAGCAGCAGACTGGGAAATACCGCGTGCAGCAAGTGCCGCACATAGGCAGCAATTCCTTTTGTAGGTCTCTCTCTCTGTGTGTGTGTGGGTGTGTGTGTGTGTGTGAATGGCATAAAAAAAATTCTTAAATTAAAGTCAATTTGACGACCCGTTGAATGAGCATCTGGCTGCGGAGCCACGACAAAAGTGAAACTTAATGTTGATTAGGAAAATTGAAGTGTTAACGCACAGATTCTTTAATTTTGGCCAAAAGTCGAACAGGAATTGTGCTCTTTAAACAAACCTGAAAATTGAATATTGTACAAATTATTATGAATTACATTCAGACACTTACTGATCTTCGCTTTATTTTAATTGATCGTTAGCTAATGTCAAAAAACACTCAAGTGGCTTTTCAATTAGCTATAGAAATATTTAGTTCTAACGAAGTGAAGTCCAACACATTTTCTTAAATAAAATACTGCATCAAAAACCTGTGGAAAACTGTTATAGCTGGAACTGCGTTTCTCCAGAGTATAACAAGTATGAATCATCTATTCGACTAGGACATACCCGTATTCCCATTCATGTTTAGTTGGGGGTAATAGTTGTTCTTTTTTTTTTTTTTTTTTTTTTTTTTTTTTTTTTTTGATAGGGATAATATTTTTTTATTTTTTTTCGCCAAATTATATATTTTAATGGTTTCCAAACTATTTTTTCTCGTTCTTGCTTAATATCCCATTTTGCTATTCCGGGTTTCCGGGGTTTTCGCTTAAACGTTTTTATATTATCAATTATTTTATTGTTGAATCAATAATTTCACTTACACTTTTAAAATGTGGCCAAAATGGCCAGTCTTATAACAACAAAAATAAATTCAAAATAAATAATTATTTAAAAAATACGAGCTAATTAAAATATCTAAAAAAAAATGCAATAAAATAATTAAATATATAAAAGAAAAAATTTTAAATAAATGGATCAATAAAGGAAACGAAAATGTACGAAAAAAATAAACAAGTTAAAAACATGCTGGTAAACAGCTCTGCCTATTGCAGCTAATGAATGTAGGTCTTCAACCTCCATTATACGCTGTCCTGTCCCATTCCCATTTTCAATAAGTATTCAGAGTATTGAAAAACAGTTTGGCAATTAAATTTGCTGTGGTCTCCGCTTGGGGCTATTCAACAAGTCTTTGTTTTCCCTTAGCACACATACATATATAAACAGCTCACTTGCCAATTTTCAACATTAATTAACTGAGTGCCAAGCAGAAGAAGGAGACCTGCAAGACATTGTGTAAAATTTGTAAGCGATACGAAAAACACAATATAAGACAACGAGTCGAATACATTGTCTGACTGCAGCATTTAGTTTACGAGAACATTTTAATCTAATTTAACACACTTTAGATTTATATTTGCTTAAATAGAAGTTATCTAAGTGGCACGTGCCGGGCATAGCCAATAGAGCCAACACTCACACACACACACACGCACACAGACATAGCATAGGCGAGTCGGACACAGAGCTCAGTATCCAGCTGCTCCGGGCACTTGGGCAGGGGCTACACAATGGAGCAGAGCCAGACGCAGACGCATTTTTATTATAGTTTATTTCACTTGCTTTTGCAACCGCTTTAGACATGCAATCGAATTGAGGCAAACGTTTATTGGCCAAAAAAAAAAAAAAAAAAAAAGAGAGCTACAAGTATAAGTAGAAGAAGAAGCGAAAATGCAATCAATCTATGGCAATTGTCCGGTGTACAAAGAACTTAAAAGCAGCTCAGCCATAGACGCGTCGCAGCAGCGTGAAAAACGAATAGATGACGTTCAGCAGCGACTGCAGCATCTTTAGATTCATTGGATAAACGCCGCCAACAAGTACCTGGGGATGTATCAAATATATAATATATACATGTATATACACATATATAAGTATAAATATGAATTTAGGAAGATTTATGCTTACTGCGAGTGGCTTTTGAGAACGCATCATGAGAAACATTACTACTTTCTGTGTCTCTATATCCAGATCCATCCAATTGATCTCATAGGCGGCAATGGATATATTGAAACTCTGTAAATAATTCGAATAGTATTAAATTATTATTAAAACAATTAAAAATTTGACAATGGGCATCTACCTGAAAGTAAAGCTCATTGGCCACGTAGTAGAGCACAACAGTGTTGGAAAATATCATGATCATATAGAAAATCACGATTATAAACTGAGCTATTGTTGGTGCCTATTGAGAATAGTTTTGATTGTAATGAAATTAAATTGAATTGAATATACATATATTTAGATAAAATTATAATTAGAATTCAAATTGTAAATTGCCAACTTACAATGATTAACGAGAAGAGCAACACACAAAGCATTGCGCCAAAGCATAGAAACTCCAGCAGATGCAAATGGGTGGTCAATGCATTCATGGCATCGACCAGGCTATAATTGAGTGAATGAGTGAGTGGCTAAATGATTGCATGAAGGTGAAAGACAATAGCTTACCCAGCCAGCTTGAGCTGATATCGTATGCACCATATAATTTCGTCACGCACTCGAATGCCTGGCAATTGCCGCAAGGTGCGCAGCTTGTGCTGCAGCACCTGGCACATGAGAATGGCAAACAGTGTGAAGGTAACAATCAGATTCGTATACGGTATGTACATGCAGCAGCCCATCGGCGCCATTATGACCTGCACCACAAAGAATACCTCATAGGCAGGGCTGGCATATTTATCGATGCCGGGAATATACATGCCATAGGGCAGCACTGTAATGGCAAATACAAATACAAATATACAATTACACAAACACACACACACACACACTCAATTTTCATCGAGATTGTTTGTTTTGCTGCTGAAAATCTAACCGCGCTCGGACCCAAATATCGGATATGTTACAAAGCCAATGCAAGTGCAAATGCCCATTAGTAAATTAATGCGACCGATCAAGTTGGAGAGTTGCGTCGTCTTCGCTATCAATTCGGAAATATGCACATCTGAAGAATTCTGCAAAGAAATAATGTATATATGAAATAATGTATATATGTAAATTTCAGATTTTACATTGATTAAAAAAAATCGGACAAAAAAGCTGATGGTTTATGCTTTGATTTGATTGATATTTAAATATACTTTTAGTAACTAAAAGTCATGGTAGCATTTCTTCAACCGTGGCAAGCCGTATCTGTAAAGTTTTACACTATATAGGTTTTACCTGACACTTAAAATTGAGTAAGCATATAAATATTCATTTTATTGCGCAGTTATGTTTTTACACACAATAGACCTGACTAATACTTTTTACCACTTACCATTTTTACTTTACCATTGCTAAAGTTGCCTCCCGAATACTTAGAAGCACACCTCTCACCCTAAACTATGTAGAGTCTTAAGAATTTCCCCACTGAACTGGGAGAATATTCTTATATTGGTGTTCAATACTTTCAATGTTCTTTGAATAGAATAATTCTAGTATTGGAACGATACTATTTTTGTTTACTGGCAAAAATATACATATGCAAGAAAACGAATCAACATTTTTCACTATTTGAAAATTTGCCAGCAACCTATTAATTAAAACATATTTAGTTAACACATAAATTTTTGTACTACAGCTATCAAATGAGTTGTAAGCATTCTTTTTAATTGCTTTATAAGCTCTGTTAGAGAATTTTTACTTTTTATTTACATAGAATCAAGAAGTTCGATATTATTGCTCACAATAAGTTATAAGTTATTGAATAAAATATATATCATTATTATCTATTGGCTATTGACAAACACTTTTACATACGATTAATCGCTACAAATTATGATAAATTGATCAGTAAAGAAAAAAGCCGAAAAAAAACAAGTTAGTTTTTTTTTTTAAATCCAGAATTCCCGCTGCCCGCTGTTTTGGAATTTTTCCCGCAATTGGATTTTCAAAAAAGCTAGATTCGACGGGAAAAAAGCTGATTTGGCAACACTGGTCAAACTGCCTTTTGCTGAGAGTCTTTGTGTGAGCGAAAATAGTATTAGTTTTTACGCGACACTCATTTGAGAGCGTCACACGAATGTGCCATTGCAATGTTGTGTCTGACCTAAAGAATACAAAGAGTCATTATCAACAGCAGTCTTATTTGGTTCGTTGGAGTGATCGGTTGAAAAACAATGGATATATTTGACGTAATTGAAATAACCGAAACTTGGATTTGTTTTTTTTTTATACTCAAGGTAAAACTGTGAAAACTTTATTTATCACGAACAACTAATTAATATCCTAATATTGTGCAGACGTCTTTTCGTTTCGTCGATACACGTAAACTCGGCCAGTTCAATATCAATGTCAATGACCTTGTTCCCATTGCAGCGATCGTAGAATTTTTTTCAATGCCACGTAACAATAAATTACGATCAGTATTTCCGGTTTGTGTTGATTCGATGAAGGACAAATATCGCGAAATGGGTATTGTCGAAGAGAAGAGGCAGCACTTTAAGGACTATGTGGAGCCTGTTGACGACAAATTCACGAGCTTGATAAGTTTTGAATATGGTGTGCCCCTTATAAAAGGCCTGCCATACGAGAAAGTCCTACAATTGAAAACACTGAAACATTTATATATTTGGATTGACAGTTCTCTGAAATATGAATTTTTGGTTGCTCTTGGAAACAAGTCAGGAGAAACGATTGAAAGTCTCTCCATAAAGGGCGCATATCTAACGACTGAGCACGTGGAGAGGATTTGTGACACTCTCCAGCTCAGCCTGGAAAATTTCTGTGTGTGGTGTAAAGAAGTGCCGCTTGAACACTTGCTAAAACTGCAGAAGCTGAAGTCGCTTCATATTCAAATGTCTTCCATAAAAAATGCAATGGTAATGGAACTTATAAAGGGTTTGCCCAACTTGGTGATCTTGAATATGCGAGAGTGTCAACTGCTAACAGAGGAGTTTGTCTCTGAAGCACTTGACTGCCTGACCAATAACAACAAACAATCGAAACTCACGATTTACGTGCAGGGATCAGCCATAAATTGGAAGGAGCTGCCTGGAAATGGACATTTGTTGCAGGTCATTGAGAAGCAAAAGAATGAAATAGTTCGTATGAATGGCGAATTGAGCAATCAAGATAATTAAAAAAAAAAAGATTGATATATATATATATATATTCAGTTGTTAACGACAGGAAACATAAGAAAAATAATTTTTATTCATTTTATTTCAATACACATACTAATCAAAAGTCTAAAAAAAGTTACTCAAATTTTTGTATAACCCTTACAACAATTATATACACTTTGTGAGCAATTTTGTGTTTTACTTTTATTTACTTTTCTTGGTAACAGCTGCACAGTGAGGATCTGAGCGTGGAACCCCCACTATAAAATATAATGACTAATTTTAACGGATATGACCAACAATTATAAATATTTTGGAAACTTTTTTTAGCTTTTACTATTCCGGTAAAGCCCCCTTATCTTTTTTTTGTGCATTAGTTAGATTAGCGGCTGCATCGATTTCTTCGATTTTCGTATTTTGCTTGACCATTGCAATATAAATTGAGAAACACCAACTAAAACCCAATTAAACCCTTCAAACCTGACCTTTTCCAAGGCTCAAGGAAATGATTTTAATTCAATTTCACGGAAATTAACATATATAGAATATTATGTTAACCAATGTGAGCAAATGCCTGATACGTATGTATGCGTGTTAGGACTGGTGTAAACTATTGAGCTTACAAAATGGATGCGAATTGAGATGATGACTTATGAACTATGAAAGAATATGAAGAATTCGCAGGGGAGGAATGCGATCATGCAATAAATACATATACATACATATGTATATAAATATGTATATACATCACTCTGCCACTATCAACTTTCATACATATATTTATAGAATATGTTGTGAAGCTCACCAGCAGCTGAAGATAGTAGACTTTCAAGAGTTCTAGGAAACGTTCGTATCGGCCACGTTGCACACAGAGCAGGACGCCACGCACAATTGTGTTGGTAAAGAGCACAGTCAGATAGACATTACGTATGATAAAGTCGAGGCGCTCGGAACTTAGGTAGATATCACCGTATTGGGTCACATTGATGAGGGCATAGGGCGTTAGGGCCAAATAGCGTCGCCAATTGTGAACGAATAGATATGACCAGAATTTCATTAAACGCAACGTAATGCCAAAAATGGGCATGTCCGGTGTGGACATTGTCTGAAGTTCCTGTCTCATTTTTAGTTCCCTATTTAGCAGCACAACTGTGGACACAGCTCAAGGTGCTCTCTTATTTATACATATATGTAGACCTGTCGATGCTTTCCTGTCTGATGTCATCATTAGCGTCTAATGAATGGCTGTGCTTGAGTGGGCGGGTGTTAATTGGTTCGCCAGTATCTAATTAAAGGTGTTAAGGTATATAATTTGATGTCAAATTGTCACTTGCTATTGCTTGCAGCTCGATTTCAATGCTTTAACAAGAAGAGTTTCATGTCTGACATTAAAGCCAATGAAATCTGTGACTGTTCAAGCAACCCTTACATTAAGTCCGTCTGGGAGTACATTGTAACCAACTTGAACTACTTCATATATTTAATCGCATTTTTTTAAAGACAGAAATGCAATTCGCAGAAGCCTATCCAAAAACCAGATTACCACATAAATGTTGGCGTACTCTTTATTTTTAATATACCCTGAACCTAATGAAAATGGGAAATCAGGGTATAATGTAATAAGTATGTAACAGGCAGAAGGAATCATCGCAGACCAGATAAGGTACATATATATATATTCTTGATCAGAATGACGAGCTGAGTCGATATAACCCTGCCAGTCTCAGAAGTTATAAGAGCTAGAGACTTGAAATTTGGCATGCATACTCGTGAATATACATTTGATGAATACCAAGATTTTGTAATTTACAGATTTTGGTTACCACAGCTCTTTCGCCCCCAATTTGTATAAAACGTACTTCAAGTACTAGAGATTTGTGCTTTGGAACACACATTTTAACCATATGATACCGTTCTGAATGTTTCATGATGAGTTTCATGAAGTCTTACTGCAAGATAAATTATTCAACGAGTAAATTCTCATAATGGGCACTATCACTGCAACATCACAGGGTATCTCCTAGTCGAGCAGTCTCGACTAGAAGACTCTTACTTGTTTTTTTTTTTTTATATGTATGTATGTGTGACCCAATGTCAGGCACTTTATCAGCGAGCAAAGGTCTTTTATGGCAAAAACAAAAAAAAAAAAAAAAAAAAAAAAAAAAACAAAGAAACAAAACAACATTGTTGAGCAAATAATAACAATATGTATGTAATCCTTTAAAGTGCTACGAACTCAGAAGTTCTGAGTTATAGCACGACCTATGCCAATTGTTAGTGTTGGTCAAGCTGGTCATAAATTGCATGCACTATGCAACACTATGCCGACGTTGCTGCACTTGACCTCTTTGATACTCTGCTGATTGCGGTCTCGACATTTGTAATAAGCGTCGGCAAACTTTTAATTGCGACACACGCAGACAGCACAAGTATTACGATGGGCGTGGCATATGCTTGTGTTGTTTGCAAACTATTTTTTTTTTTTTTGTGCCTGGTTGCCTGGTTGTTTTTTGAGGCTGCCAGACAACACTGGCAACGCCTGAAATTGAAATTCTCTCAGCTTTTCGGCTGTATATCGTTAGTCAACGAAAAGTTTTTGCATTTTATGCATATGCGAGTGCATGGGATGTGCCGGCGTTGTTGATTTGTTGCTCACTCGGTTGGCTGGCCAGTCGGCACTAAGAATCCTGAGTCCTGAATCCTGCCCGCTTGTCGATAATATGTAGTGATGCCCAGATGGGTCCGGCGTTATGCTCCTATGCGCTAAATTAAATGCATAATTACTTGATAATTGGATTTGCGGTCGGCTCAACTGGCTGTGCGAAATTTTCTAATTAAAATGTTTAGTGGCTGGCGAGACTATGGCGTGACTCCCCAATTGCTACTTGATGACGATAAGCCCCAGGCACGTATTCACCTCCACTCATTCACACACACACACACCCACTCAAACGTAAACACACACACACACACACACACACAGCAAATGGCTGTCGGTCGCCTGCTGTTAGCATATTGCTTTAATACCCTTTCGAAGGCGTCATGCGAAATACACTGAGTGCGTTTGTATGTAGAATATATGAATGAACTGTTAGCAAATGATTTTGAGGTATCATAAAGGGTGTTAAATTAAGGCTTAAGAATGCATAATGAAGCGTAGCAGAGATAATCCATATCCAAAGTAGTCTATATATATATATATATATATATATATATATATATATATATATATATATATATATATATATATTATTTTTTTTTTTTTTTAATTAAATGTTTAAATATTTAATAATTTCTGTTACGTTTAGTTAAAAATTAAAAATAATTAAAACTATTAAATTGAAAAAGTTAAACTATTTGTGTAAAACATTTTAAAAGAATTTACTACACAAATATTTATATTTATATATGTATATATAATAATATTAATATTTCATATTAAATATATGTTTAAAAAATATTAATAATAATAAATATAAATGTGCTTCTCCAATTCTAAATTTTATTAGAAGTGAAAAAAAAATGTCAAAATTTTATTAAAAGTGGTGAAAATATTAAAATGAAAATTTCACCTATGAAGTTTTTTTTTAACTTTAAAATTTAACGTTGTGAACTGAGAAGTTAGGGGCATATTTCAAATGTCTCTAAATTATTTTCAATTAATATATAAAAAAGAAAAATAAATAAATAAATAAAATCTTATAATTAATTTGAAACCAATAATTAGCTTTCAAATTCGGACATAGAAAATATAGTTTTTTTAAATTTTTATTTATTTATTTATTTTTTTTCATTTTTATATTTACTAAAATATACTATATTATTATTATATATATAAACTAGAGTAATTTATGATACTTTGAAAGATCAAGAATTCAAATATTCAATAGCAAGTATTGTTTAATGCAATTTGAATTCATTAAAAATATAAAAACAAAAAAATATCTAGTTTTAAGTATGTACAAGTGCGGTGTGCAGACGTTATCTTATCAGACCAATTCCTAATCCCTTTTATCTGCCAGGTTCTTGGTAGGCGTGTCGTCCTAAATAAGTTATAAACGCCATGTTTTTTTTTTGGCTTGCTGTAATAAATTTCCATTTTGTTGTTGTTGTGGGCGGGTCTGGGAGCCCAATCTCAGTTGGAGCCACCATAGTTTGGCGGCTTTAAAATTTTCGCAAGCAGCTTCGCATTCGTAATACAAACGAAATTTATTGCTTACACTCAGGCGGCATTGCCTGATAAGTTATTCATATGAAATGGCCTGATTACCGCCCACCAAATATGCGCACCGGCATTCCTCAATCTCTATCTCACTCGCACTCTCGCTAGTGTCTTTGTTGTATTGGTACGTGTTTGAATTATATGCCGGTCATGGAATTTCTTTTCTTTTTTTCAGATTCTCGCCATGTAATGCGCCAGTTTGTATGGCAATCGCTGCGCTGGGCCGCATTTTTTATGAACTGTTGGGGCCATGACTTTTATGATTTGTATTTTTCGGCTCGAACAGGAAATTGTACTTGTGTCTGACTGTGTATGTGTGTGTGTGTGTGTGTGTGTGTGCCAAGTACCAACTCACAAGTGTGTAGTTCCAAGTCACAGAAGTCATTGAATTAAGCAAATGGTCAGGCAATGCGGTAAGGCTCTCTGCGCTGGCGTGAGGGCAAATAGACTCTGCTCACTTTGCTATTACAACTCTCAAAGAAATATTATTAATTATTTAAATAAAATCATAAGGAATTTATATAGATTAAATGTAGGAATCTTGCATAGCTTTTTGTGCTTTTGGTTTTATATTATTATTTATGATATGATTATCGTATTATTATCATGATTTAAAAAGAATTGTAAACAAGAAATTTTTGGAAGTAATTTGCGGACTTCGATAAAATGTTTATTGAAAATTTATGAAATTGAAAATTCATTAGATTCAAGCTATTATAAGAATTTTAATTTATATATATATATATATATATATATATATATATATATATTTTTTTTTTTTTTTTTTTTTTTTTTTATATTGTCTTAATCTCATTGCACTCGTTTAAATCGTATTAATTTTTGTAATATGTTTTTTATAATTTTCATTTTAATAAATGAGAATTTTTCATTTGAAAATTTTCTTTCTTTCTCTTTTTCTTCCGTGCATTTATTATATTTTTTTACTTGTTTAAATTATTTTTTTTTTTTTTTTTTTTTTTGCAAGAGATCTACTGCTCGTTAACTTTAATTATCCTGTCAATCTCTTACATATATACTGTAGTCAGAGTTAGGCCCTATGACAAACCTTAAAAGGCTCTATCAATATTTTGGGCTTGTGGCAAATCCCCATTTTTCTGCAAACGCTGCACATAAAACCCAAGGAGCTGCACGTGCACGAAATCTCAGCAAAACACTTGCCACGCAAACACACACAAAACACCTCAACACCTTGGCAAGCACTAAAATATAAAATATAACTTAATCCCAATGAAATTGATATGAAATTTTACACAGTGTGTGCCTTTGCCACACTCAGCGCGGCTCTCAGGGCGTATGAGCAATGTCTTTGCATCTATGTCTGTGTGTGTGTGTGTGTGATGTCTGCATGTGTGTTGGCTGTGTGTTTTGTGTGTATGTATTGCCAGCAAATTTAAATTCCACACATGAGGTGCGAACATTTTTGTTGATTCGCTTGTAAAACTTTATGCCACTCTTTCACTCCGTACTCCACTATCTCTTCCTCTCTCTCTCTCTCTCCCTCTAGCCTGGCCGCTTCTGGGCTGTCATTTTGTTTAGATTTTTCACCCCGGCTGCATTTCTATTTTCCTATGTTTCTGCCTGTGTCTGGCTAATTTACAGGTGTTTTTTTTTTTTTTTTGGTTCCTACTCGTGTTTGACATAACTTTGATGTTTACTTTGATAATTTTAGATTGAAAAAGTTTTTTGGTTGTATTTTGTCGGCACGTAGCAGATTTGATGAAAAGTGAAATTATGAAAGTGTCGTAGAAGTGTAAAGGCTCGCACGCTTTAAAACTACAAGATTTCCAATTTCCTTGCTTTGAGCGGCGACCTTGTTCCAGTTTTCTTTTCTCCCGTTTCACTGTTATCTCAGGCTGCGGTGCGTCTTTTTCTGTTGTTGCCCGCCTACCTTCTCAGTGGGCCACGCCCATTCGCCCTACACTTACTCAGACCTGGGGCGGCGTATAATTTTATCTCACTTAGTGCCCGCTCAGCTCGCAGCTGCTTAATTTTTACACTTGACGCGCACTCGTCGCCTTCCAAATGACATCCCCTGTGGTGCGCAAAACAACGCAAAATTAAAAGCAAAAAAAAAAAAATGGAAAACTGGCACAAAGTTTTACTTGCTGTTGCTTCTCGTTGTCGTTTGGCTGTGAGCTGTCATTGAAGACCACAAAAAAAAAAAAAAAAAAAAAAAAAGA